TTATAATATCTACTTCCTAAAGAGGTTGTGAGGATGTCCTGTAGGCCAAGTTCCTTCCCAGGAAGCAATTAATCATTACCTTTGTTTTTCTATCAGATATATTCTATGCAAATAATACATGCAAAGAATTTACATAGCACTAAATATTTTTGATGCAAATCATATACAGTACTGTTTTGCTCTTTTTACTTAACAATGTGCCTTGGAGATAATTTCATTATAATACATTTAGATAACATTGTTCTTTTTTAACAGCTACATAGTATTCCATTGCATGGCTGCTTTATAATGTTGTCTTTTGCTATTAACCAGTGCTGCAATGAATATAATTGTATGTATGCCTCCTGGCACACATATGAGGATATTGGTTGGGTAAATATCCTAAAGGGAAATTGCTGGGTCAAGTTATACATAAATTTAAATTTTTGACATATATTGCCAAATTGCAAGTTACAGAGATTGTAGAAATTTACACTCTTCACCAGGAGTGAGTAAGAGTGCTTCTTTGTCCAGAAACTTGATGACATAGTGTATTATTAAACTTAAAAAAATTCATACTGTGGGATCTTGATATACATACTGTTTTTTGGTATGATTTTTTTGGCTTAACATTAAATTGCAAAAAAATGTTCAGTTTCAAAGAATATTTTTCAACAAAATAAATTTTAATAGTTATTAAATATTCCATTATATAGATGTGCCATAATTTATTTGATTAGCTTTCTGTGGTCAGACGGTGTTTTTAAAACTAAAATGTTTGACAAATTTGACTGTTAAAACTAAGAATATTATTATCAACAGTCTCATAAAAAGGCGAAAGTCATTACAAACCAGAAGAAAATATTCACAACAGCAGCTAACGAGGGAGAGCATTATGAGCCATATGTAAAGAGTTTTCTAGAAATAAATAAGCAAAGATTAATAACCTAATAGAAAAATGGGCAAACGACACAGACATTTCAAATGTAGAAACATACATGACTATTAATAAATGTATAAGGAGATGTGGAACATCATTATAATGAGGCAAAGTAAGACCAGAATCGGATATTATTTTGCACTAATTTGTTTGGTAAAAATTAAAAAAGATCTTACAAACAAAGGGTGTGGAGTTGTAGAGGGAATGCAAATTGGTGCATCCATTCTGGAAAAACAATTTAATGTTATATACTCAATTTGAAAATTTATAATCTTGTGACCTAGTAATTTTTCTTCTGGTTATAACCTAAAAGGCCAACAAGCATGTGAAAAAATGCTCAACATTACTGATCATCAGAGAAAGCAAATTACAATCACAATGAGATATCATCTCACAGCAGTCCAAATTGCTATTATTAAATTATTATTATTGAGACAAGGTCTTACTCTTTACCCAGGCTGGAGTGCAGTGGTGTGATCACAGCTCAGTGCAGACTTGATACCATGGGCTCAAGTGATCCTCTCACTTCAGCCTCCTGAGTAGCTAGGACTACATCTGTGAGCCACATGCCCTGATAATTTTTTAATTTTTAGTAGGGATGAGGTCTTGCTATGTTGCTTAGGCTGGTCCCAAACTCCTGGGCTCAAGTGATCTTCCCACCTCGGCCACACAAAGTGCTGAGATTATAGGCTTGAGACACTGCACCTGGTCCTGAATGGTTATTAACAAAAAGTCACCAAATAATAGATGCTGGGGAGGATGCATAGAAAAGGGAATGCTTTATACACCATTGATGGGAATGTAAATTAGTACAAATTCTATGGAAAAAGTATGGAGATTTCTTAAAGCACTAAAAATCAAACTATCATTTGATTGGCAATCCCACTACTGGGTGTCTACCCAAAGGAAAAGAAATCATTATATAAAAAGACAAATGCCCTATGAGGTTGATTGCAGCACTATTCACAATAGTTAAGATATGGAGTCAATCAAAGTGTTCAATCACGGCTGATTGGATAAAGAAAATGTGGTATATACATATATACATGCTATGAAATACTATTCAGGTATAAAAAGGATGAAATTTTGTTTTTTTGCAGCAATATGGATGGAGCTATAGGCCATTAAGTGATGTAACTCAGAAACAGAAAGTTAAATACTGTATGTTCTCCACTATAAATGGAAACTGAATAGTGTGCACATGTGGACATAGAGCATGGAATAGTAGACACCAGAGATTTGGAAGGGGGGAAGGGGGTTGGGGTATGAGAAATTACTTAATGGGTACAGTGTACCTTATTCTGGTGATGGTTACACTGAAAGCTCGGACTTAACCCAAGGCAATATATCCGGTAACAAAACTGCACTTGTACCCCTTGAATTGATACGATTGTCCTCCTAATGTCATGTTTTCTAATAGCAGTTGAAAACAAACCAAATAACAGAATGTGGATGAAAAAGTGTGGCATTTTCCAATAATGGAAAGTAACATGGCAGTAAAAAACAAACAAACATTGTTTTAAATTCCTTGAGACATCACCAAAATGCTTTCCGCAGTGGCTGAACTAATTTACATTCCCATCAGCAGTGTATAAGCGTTCCCTTTTCTCCACAACCTTGCCAGCATCTGTTGTTTCTTTGACATTTTAATAATGGCCATTCTGACTGATGTGAGATGACATCTCATTGTTTTGATTTGTATTTCTCAGCCATCCTATAATTGGGCATGTACTCAAAGGAACATAAATCTTTCTACCATAAAGACATGCACATGTATGTTCATCAGAGCACTATTCACAATGGCAAAGACACAGAATCAATCTAAATGACTGTCAGCAGTAGACTGGATTAAAAAAATGTACATATACACACTATGGAATATTATACAGCCATAGAAAATAATGATATTATGTCCTTTGTGGGAACATGGATGGAGCTGGAAACCATGGCCCTAAGCAAAGTGACAGAGGAACAGAAAACCAAATATTGCATGTTCTCACTTATAAGTAGGAGCTAACCTTTGAGTATATATGCACACAAAGAAGGGAACAACAAACCCCAAGGCCTACGTGAGGGAGAAGGGAGAGGACCAAAACGCTACCTATCGGGCACTATGCTTATTACCTGGGTGACAAAATAACCTGTACACAAAACCCCTGTGACACATAATTTACCTATATAACAAACTTGCACAGGTACCCCTGAACCTAAAAAAAAAAAAAAAAAAACAAAAACGTGAATCAGAAAAATTAAAAAACAAAACAAAACAACGTGAATCAGAAAAATTTAAAAAAAAACAGCAAAATATAAAACCAAAACAAAGGGTGAAAAAGGCAACAATATGGCAAACTTCAATACAGCTGACAGTGTTTGCACTGCCCTGCCTCTAGCCCTCACGCATCCATCTTCAGTGCCCACCAGCTGGAGTGCACTTGGCCATCTCCATTGCAGGGTGGAAGCCGCAGGGAAATGGCATTCCTTGGGAAGAGTTCTCAATCTTTGACTGACAGGTGTTGGTAAACCTCAGCTGTCTCACTGCCTAGGTGAGATAACTCTGAAGTATGTTTATATACACCCTGGCCTTCCCCAGAGAGGTTAAGCACTAGTTGCCCTCAGTGGTGGTTGGTTTGATAAGACACTAAAAAAAATTCATTTCAATAGTTTTTGGGGTAAGGTGGTGTTTTAGTTACATGGATAAGTTCTTCAGTGGTGATTTCTGAGATTTCAGTGTACCTGTCACCTGAGCAGTGTACCACCCTTCTCCAAACCTCCCACCACCGTTCCCCCAAAGTCCATCATATAATTCTTTTTAAAAATTATTATTTTACTTTAAGTTCTGGGGTACATGTGCAGATCTTGCAGGATTGTTACATTGGTATACACATGCCATGGTGGTTTGCTGCCTCCACCCCCCGTCACCTACTTTAGATATTTCTCCTAATGTTATTACTCCCCAGTCTCCCTAACCCCTGCTATCCCTCCCTAGTCCCCCACCCCAAAGGACCCCAGTGTGTGATGTTCCACTCCCCATGTCCATGTGTTCTCACTGTTCAACACCCACTTATGAGTGAGAACATGCAGTGTTTGGTTTTCTGTTCTTGTGTCAGTTTGCAGGGAATGACAGTTTCCAGCTTCATTCATGTCCCTGCAAAGAACATGAACTCATCCTTTTTTATGGCTGCATAGTATTGCATGGAGTATATGTGCCACATTTTCTTTATTCAGTCTATCATCGATGGGCACTTGGGTTGGTTCCAAGTCTTTGCTATTGTAAACAGTGCCACAATGAACATATGTGGTCATGTCTTATAATAGAACGATTTATAATTTTTTGGGAATATATACAGTAGTGGGATTGCTGAGTCAAATGGAATTTCTATTTCTAGGTCCTTCAGGAATCGCCACAGTCTTCCACAGTGGTTGAATTAGTTTACACTCCCACCAACAGTGTAACAGTGTTCCTATTTCTCCACATCCTCTCCAGCATCTGTTGTCTCCAGATTTTTTAAATGATCGCCATTCTAACTGGTGTGAGATGTTATCTCAATGTGGTTTTGATTTGCATTTCTCTAATGACCAGTGATGTTAAGCATTTTTTCATTTAGAAGACCCCATCATCTCAGCCCCAAATCTCAAGGTGATAAGCAAGCATTATATAATTCTTATGCCTTTGAACTTGTATAGAAAGAGATGAAACACACACAACACAAATTAATCATTTAAAAAGGAATAATTCAGTGGCAGTGTGGTGCAACCACCCCTTCTTTCTAGTTCTAAAACATTTTCATCATCCTAAAAGGAAGCCCATGTTCATGAAGCTGTTGCTTCTCCTATGCTGTGCTTTTATTGACTGTCTTTCCTTCTGTGTCTGATTTCTCTACCACCATCCCAAACAATTTGCTCTTGAATCCTTGTCCTCAGTCAGCTTTTGGGGGGCTTGGGAATGTCATACTAGGTAAGAGCAAAAAAAATTCCAAAAAGTTACATGCAAGTTGATAATCCTGTTTTAAGTTAAAAACTAAGATAAAAACATACTTTTAGTAATACATACCAGATGCGAAAAGACAGTGTAAAAAGGCAACTACAATGATGGCGATATTTTTCATCAACAGAAATTAGCCTAGGGAGTTTTGATATTAGGGTATGAGTGAGAAGAAAAATAACTGCAAGCAAGGCATTGATGACTGTGAGATTTAGGAAGGTGGCTACATGAGGTCAGAGGAGTAGGAGGTTGGGCTTGGGAGACCACAGGTTGGATGCGAGTTGTTGACAGGGTCCTAGGTTTTGTTGTTGATGGTGAGTTTCTATAAGCTAATGATATTCTTTAAAAAATGACTAATAAAATTATTAAAGCATAGATCAGCGATAAGAATGTGTCATACCAAATGTTATAATGACCCCAATTCTGTGCAAACAAGCAAAACTGACATCAGTGGAATTCAAATTAAGAGAGGACAGTATTTAAATTTTCCAACTTTCATGTGGTAGGCTGAAGAAAGGGTTTTAAAAAGTGCATTTTATGTCACCTTTACTTGGGAAGGGATTTAATACACTCTTCCTTTATCTTCCCTAGGAGATCATTCAAAAGGTCATAACTTAAATGCCCGTTAACAGGGGAAAGTTGTATTAATAAGCACTGCTCTTCATGGCCTATGATGCAGTCATTCAAAAGATCAGAATAGATAGATGTGTCAATATACAAAGATATCCATGCTACATTGTTAAGTTAAAGAAGCAAGGTGAAAATATGCTTTATATGATCCTATCTTTGAAGACAATTTTTTTGGCCATATAAAATGTGATATGTAATTTATTGTATATATATGTGAGTAACTATTTATATATGTACATGAACATACATAATTATATATTTCCCTGAATAGAAAAAAGTGGGAAACAACTTACCCGGTATTGTTAACAATGTTTTTCTATGTGATAGAATTATGAAAAGTTTCTTTTTTTTTTTTGTCTTTTTTGAGGCAGAGTCTCAGGCTGGAGTACAGTGTTGGGATCTCAGCTCATTGCAAACTCTGCCTCCTGGGTTCAAGTGATTCTCCTGCCTCAGCCTCCTAAGTAGCTGGGACTACAGGTGCATGCCACCACACCCAGGTAATGTTTTTGTATTTTTAGTAGAGAGAGGATTTTGCCATATTGGCCAGGCTGGTCTTGAACCCTTGACCTCAGGTGATCCACCCACCTCAGCCTCCCAAAGTGCTGAGATTACAGGTGTGAACGACTGCACTTGGCTGAAAACTTTCTTTTTTCTCAATTATACATATCTATGTAGGTTAAATATTTTTAGTTAGAAAATTCAATAAAATGAAGAATTAAAAAATTATGTATTAAATATATGTAGTTCTATAAGTTCTTTTACTTATATAGTTACTGTGTTGTTATTGTTACTTTGTATAGCTACTCTGCTAGAGTTTGCAAAGTACATCTTCAACTGATCTCTCCCTTATCCATGAGTGTGGGTAAATCCACACTGTCTTAAATTATGTTGATTTCATTTCACAGAGCCATATTTTATCACCATGGCTTTTCCTCCCCATTTTGAAAGCTCTTTGGAAATCATTTTTTCCCTTTCTGCTTGCTACTTTTTCCACTCTCCTGGCCAAGTCTATGTCCTGTGGTCTGAAGTTGCTCACTCTGTTTTTTTGTGAGGACCAGTTACTATGAAATATGATGTTCATCTGTGACATAGATAAATGTTAACATCATTGCTGGCCACTCTGTAATTTGATGACAGAGTTCTGGGAGATTTTGTAAGGTGAGAAACTTTCTGCCTCTGACATTTGAAAACCCAGAGATGTAAGCAATTTGAGAAAATTGAAAACATGGGCCGGGTGCCGTGGCTCATGCCTGTAATCCCAGCACTTTGGGAGGCTAAGGCAGGCAGATCACCTGAGGTCAGGAGTTCGAGACCAGCCTGACCAATATGGAGAAACCCTGTCTCTACTAAAAATACAAAAATTAGCCAGGCATGGTGGCAGGTGCTTGCAATCCCAGCTACTCTGGAGGCTGAGGCAGGAGAATTGCTTGAACCCGGGAGGCAGAGGTTGCAGTAAGCGGAGATCGTGCCACTGGACTCCAGCCTGGGCGATGAGAGCGAGACTCTGTCTCAAACAACAACAACAACAACAACAAAACAAAAGCCCCACAAAAAAACGGAAAACATGAATGGCAACAACAAAAGAAAACAAAACTTATTACTTTGGTCAAGTGGTTATTCTTCCTCATTTTTGTCTGGGCTGGAAAGATTTCTTCCTCACACGTCCCTTGGCAAACTGTTATCCCTTCTGACCTAATTTGGAGACTAGGTCTTCTCCAGTGGTTGAAATAGTGAGGAAATGAGATGCAACTGTATTTTGTTTCAGTTTTGAACGTACTTGAATACCTTTCTTCCAGTAAGTCATGAATTTTGGGTATCTTACAGAAAGCCTGGGAGCCCTTAGTGCTGAAAAAATTGAGTTACAGACATAACGTGCTTTTAGAACGCCTGGTTAGAGAATGCTGGGAATGCAAGTTTCTTGCTTTGGTTTGAAAATTACTTTTTGTCTAAACCATGCAAATGTTTCTTTTCAAAAACTTTCCTCATTCTTTATTATTTGTTGCCTATAAATTGGAAAAAAGGACTTTATTTTTCTGCATAGAGAATAAAAGGAATGTATATCTTTCTTTGAAAATTTCTCCTAGTCCAAAATTTTTTGATACCCTGTGAATTGTAACAGGAGGATTAATTAGCGGAAGCTGTAAATTCTCAGCCTACTTAGTGTCCATAAGTGTGCCTCATCCTAAAAGGTAATTTTTACAATGTGGACACTCATGATACCACCTATGACATAGTCTTGCCAAAAATAAATTGACCCTGAATCCATTAAGTCTCTAATTCCAACTGCAACTTACAGAAACTACAGAGGACAGAGGAACATGTAAAAATAGCACCAGAAGAATGCATTAGCAAATTCCAACTATCTTTGGTGGTCAGAATAATGATTCCTGAAAGATGTCCATGTCCTAATCCCTGTAATCTGTGAATATATTAGGTTATGTGGCAAGGGAGAATGAAGGTTGCAGATGCAATTAAGATTGCTAATCAGCTCACCCTAAGAAGGGTGAGATTTCTCTTGGATTCTCTAGGTGAGCTCAGCACAGTCACAAGGATGCTTGTAGATGAAAGAGGGAGGTAGTCGTGTCAATATCAGAGTGATGTAATGTGAGAAAGACTCAACTGCATTGCTGGCTTTGAAGGTGGAGGAAGGGGGGCGTGAATTAAGTGGCCTCTAAAAGTTGGAAAAGCAAGAAAATGGATTCTCCTCTGTAGCTTCCAGAAAAGGACATGGCCCTGCTGACATCTTGATTTTAGCCCCTTGACATCTGTGTCAAATTTCTGCTCTCCAGAGCTGTAAGATAATACATTTGCTGCTTAAGTGACTAAGCTTGTGGTCACTTGTTGCAGCAAATATAGGAAACTAAAATCTGACCTGTTTATTTCAACAAGAAAATGAACATCTAAAATGGATATTGGGGCTGATGCTGCCAGTGCCTCCATAATGGGTACTGGAGGTCAGCGGCACACAGCTTTTGCACACACCAAGGCTTCCTGTGTCTCTGCCCGAGGGTTGCTCTGGCTTCTGAACTGTGCTGGCTCTGTCCTCAGGGTAGGTGGGAAGTGCTGAGAATTCATGCCCCAGGAGCAACTTTATACCAAGGCAGGATGGGAGTTGGTAAATAGAGGCTCTGATTCCCATGCTGGACAGTATCTCTGAGGTCCTGAGTCTCCGAGGATTATACACCATCTGCTCCAAGTGGCTACTGTTTCTTAAGGTACACTTTATTGGCTCACATTCCTTCTCTCTGGGTCTTTCTCTACTTCCTTACCATGTTTCCTGGGACTGCTTCCAAAATCAACTGTTTGCACCCAAATTCTTGTCTGCAGATAGGCTTTTGGCAGAGCTCAAACTAAGACAGAGGGAACCTATGGTTTTATAGAGACTTAAGAGACACATCAGTCTGTGACAATCTTTAGACCTTATTTGGATACTCATTCAAACAAACAAATAAAATACCTGAAAAGCGTTGATGACATTGATAACTAGAAATCTTAACGCTGGACTCTCTCTTAATATTTGATAATATTAAGAGATGATTGTAGGCCAGGCATGGTGGCTCATACTCATAATTCTAACACTTTGGGAGGCCGAGGAGAATGGATCACTTGAGGTCAGGAGTTCAAGACCAGCCTGGCCAACATGGTGAAACCTCATCCCTACTAAAAATACAAAAATTAGTTGGCATGGTGGTGGGCACCTATAATTCCAGCTAAATAGGAGGCTGAGGCAGGAGGATTACTTCTGCCAAGAGACAGAGGTTGCAATGAGCCGAGATCACACCACTGCACTCCAGCCTGGGTGAGACTCTGTCTCAATAATAATAATAATAAAAAAACAAAGAGAGATGATGTATCCCACTGCTACCACCAATAAAAGAGGTGATTGCCCAGTTTTGGAGTAGGATAATGCTATTGTGGTTATGTTAAAACAAATAGTCTTTATCTTTCAGACATACATTCTGAAATATTCATAAATACATTGATAATTGATACAATGTTTGGTATTTGCTTCAAAATAATACAAGAATTGAAGGAAGAGAGCGTAGATGAAAGAATAGCCATGAGCTGATAATTTTTGAAACTGGGAGATGAGTAGAAGAGGTTCATGACACATTTGTCATCTAGATAGACAGATAGATAGACAGACATTTCCACAATCAAAAGTGTAGAAATGCCCACTTATCTAACACATTGCATTTGAATTCGGTTGTGGTGTACCATTGAGCAACAGTAGTTTGGACTGCCCTTTGGACTTTGGGGTGGACTTTGGGGTCAGACCAAGTGGTATTCAAGTCTGACCCTGGTTTATCTTGGATGGTCAGTTGTGTGGGGTGCTGGGACAACCCAGGGGACTGGAAAGTGGGGGATGGAGGAGAGTCTCTGGGAAGGAGACAATTCCAAACACAGGATGCTTCATGACTACAGATATGGAAGTGAAAACAGACAGGAAGAACAAAGCCGCGGGCTGGGAGATTGATTTTGAGCCTACAAGGCTATATTACTCTGAGCTTTCCGGAGAACTAGAACCAATAGCATGCG